CACTTAATTAGAATACAAAAATGAGATTAGGTTGAAATAAGAACTTTATTGTATCGCTTGTTACATAATAACTACTCAACTACAGATTTCAACTAACTAACTAACTTCTTGTAAAATGGGTTGCTTTTATCCTGTTTGGTAAAAAGGGCGTTTTTACTAACATTTTGGAAAGTATGTAAAATGCATTAGTCACTAATGATAATGGCTCTTAATTGTTAGAAAGGGAAATATTTCTATTAGTAAGTCACTTTTAAAGATGCTTGCTTAATTGCTAGAAAGTAAATATCATATGTGGTGTCGGAAAAAAGTCTACATAGAAAAAACGTCAAATCAAATATGCAGTTATAAATTGTATATTTAATAGATCTTAGGACTACAAATGCTCAAATTCAACAAGAGACGTTTATTAAAGATTTTTTGGACTTATTAATACAAACCGAACAGACATTAGAAAAAACGAATGCAAAACTCAAAACAGTACAAAAGTTGACGGAAGAAAGTCTGCATACAGAACACAATATAAATTGATTTTAACCAAAAATAGAATAAACTAATAACGGGTTGGTCCTCCCTTTTTAGAAATGACTTTCCTTAATCGTTTCGGCATAGAGTTGACTAACTTAGACGTGTCGTCTGCCGTTATTTTGCCCCACTCCTCAACCAACTTGGTTTTTAGAATATTTTTTGACATTATCTGATGTTTACGAATTCTCCGTTCCAATAATTGCCATAAATGTTCAACCCCTCCTAACCCCTGTTTCTGCCTCTAAAATGTCTCTGACTAGACCTTCATGTCTGAGAAGGTGTCCTTCCAACCTATCTCGCCTATTTATTATTGACTTCGATAGAGTCCTCTGTTCTCTTATACCTCTTCATTTCTAACATTTTCCACTTACGCTATCTTCATCATTCGCTTATAACACCACATTTCGAAAGCTTCTAACCTTTTCTTTTCTGCCGCGCCCACTGTCCTTGTTTCGCACCCGTACAACGCTGCGCTCCAAATATACACCTTTAACAATCTTTTTCGAATTTATAAATTAACCGTTCGCGGGCACAGAAGTGACTTCTTTTTATTAAAGGCGACACGGCCTTGCGCTATCCTCTGCTTTATATCCGTACTACTCCTTCCTGACTTATCTGACTTCCTAGATATCTAAAATCAGCCACTTCTAATTTTTCGTCTCCTATCTTTATATTCGCTCTTTCCCTACTTTTTCTTGCCTTGCATACTAGTATTTTTGTTTTAGTTTTATTTATTTTCTTGCAGTACTGATCTGTCAGTACCGCTTCCTTTTTATTTAAAGCTATCTCTAAGTCCTCCTTGATCATCTGTAAATCTATGCATACTATTCTTGTGCCCCTGTATATCTATCCTTACAGTTTTACTGTCTTTAATGATGTTAATCGCGTCTTCGATGTATAGATGTATAAGTAGCGGTGACAGTGTGCATCCCTGTCTGACTCCATTACTAATTTTTAGTTCTCTGCGTTGCAGCCCTAGCTCTATAACTGCCTGCTGCTCTTTATACAAACCAAGTATCACTCTTCTATGTTTGTAACTGATCCCTACATTTTCTCATTCACTCTTTCCTTTTTCTATCGTTTTCTCTATTGTTACCAGTAAAGCTAGAATGGCCTCCCGCGTTCCTCTATTTCTTCTAAACCCATATTTAATTTAATGCTACCTCGAACTCTTTTTTCATCATGGGATAATAATCTAACTGATCTATCTCCACAGTATCTTCCTTGTTTAATATATCTCTTACTTCATGGCCTCCGTATAGGTTCTCAAAATATTCTTTCCACCTATCTGCCTTTTCCTCATTTTATATCAAAATGACCACTGCCTCGTTTCTTATATTAGTACTACTATATCCTACATCTCTAAAATTCCTTTTAATTATACTATAAGCCTCATCTGTTTTACCTACTTCAAACTTTTCTTCTACTTCTTTACATTTCCTATCAATCCACTGTTCCTTAGCTTCCCTACACTTCCTATAATTATTTCCCATTTATAGCCTTATATCTTTTTTGCCCTTCTTTGCCTAGCCTGTTTCTGTATTTCCGACTTTCTTCTATTAATCCTAAAATCTTATTTGTTATCCAGGGTTTTCTACTTTCGTTTTGATTAAGACCTAGTATATCTGTAGCTGTTGACTTTAGGCACGTTTTAATGCAGTTCCATTCTGTCTCTATGTCCCCGTCATTCGTTTCTCCCGCCGCCTTTAGTATTTCGTCTGTCCTTTTGCAGAATTTTCAAGTTATGATCGCTATCTATATCTGCTCCTGGATAACTCCTACAGTCCTTCACTTGATTTCTAAATCTTTGCCTAATAAGTATGTAATCTAACTGATATCTTTCTAAATCACTTGGCATCTTCCACGTATAGCTCCTCCTAACGTGATGATTGAATAAAGTATATATATATATACACATATGAAACAGAAATGGAATACTGGAGCTAATAGTAGCTACTAGAGCCAAATGAGTGCCGAATGGTTCCGAATATCGATCCGTTTTTTCTTTTTTTATGTTTTTGTGGAAGAGGGGAAATCTTCAAAAGACACCCAGCCGTCCGTACACCGGGTAGTGTCGGATTCCCGAGGAAGAAGTCCTCGGACCTACCGACTAAAACCCATCTACCTCAGGTCGTTCTAGGACCAATCAAGGTCCTCTTCAGCCGTATGTGCTATAGCTATAGCTTTTTTAGTGAATTTGGATTGTAGGTTATTGATTCTTGTAGGGATTGGGGTAAATGGAATGTTGTTGTAAAGTGTATCGGATGGAAAGTATAGGTCTAATCTCGCGACTTTGCGTAAAATACGTCGTTCGGTTGCGTGAATACTGTGGGACAAGTTACGCGACGTTGTGGTAAGTGTAGCTGCCCTATATTCAATTAGTGGTCGAACGAAGGTTTTGTATGTAGGAAGGAGTGTATCTGTTTTACAAGTTTTAATACGCCCGTTTATTAACGAAATTAGGTTAGCGCGTATCCGTACTTTGTCCAATGTGTATTTAATGTCTGCATGCGGGTTCATTGTGTGTGTAAAGATGATTCAGAGATACTTTATTCCTTTTTGTAACATAAGTTGAACATTTAATGGTTTAACATTAATATCGTCGGCGGTGAAAATGTGTCTGCGTTGTAAGTTGGGGTGTCTGAATAGTATCAGTTGTGTTTTGTTAGGGTTGAGTTTTATGCGCCATTTACTTAGCCATAGTTCCAGTGTTTGAATTTGTCGGTTGATTTTGTTGTTGCATGCTTTAGAATTGCTACCGGTTTCCAAATAAGCAGTGTCATCTAAATATTGAGCAAGACTGATAGTGTTTTCAAGTGTTGCGGGATGTCGTAGCAATAGATGTTATAGAGAAGTGGCGCTAGTACAGTGCCTTGGGGCACACCTGCGGATAGAGCAAATGTGCGAGATAATGTGTTCCCGATTTTTATTTTAGATGGTCTGTTTGGTATAAATGTATTATTTTAACGAAGAACGGTGGAAGGTTAATTTTTAGAAGTTTGGCTCGTTTTGCCAAATTGTTTCGAAAGCCCGTTCAAAGTCAGTCGCACTTGACTTGCTAAGGTACAGCTGCCCGAGTTCATTGAGGAAATGGCTTCGGTTTGTAGTTTCAGCGCCGGGTCAAGGGGGCTGAGTCCCTTTCGGAACCCGTGCTATGTATCCGGGATGATATTATTGTCCCTACAGTAGTCCGACAGGCGACTAGCGATAATTCGTTCGAGTATTTTTCCGGTATTGTTGACTAATGAAATTGGACGATAAGACGTGGGGTCGGTGAGGTCTTTTTGGGGTTTTCGAAATCATAATAACGTTCGCGCTTTTCCAGTTTGTTGGATAATATCCCGTTTTTAAAATGGCGTTGAATATGTTTGTAAGATAGTCTATCGCGCAAGGAGGCAAGTTTTTAATTATGTTATTGGTGATTCCGTCTTCACCAGGGAAATTGTTTTTTAATTTAGCAAAGGTGCCAGTTATGTCGTTTTGGAAGATTTCGCGTAAAATATCGTTTTGGCTCTATCTAGCATGCTGTAGCGTGAACCTAGTGTGATTGTTTATAAGGTAAAGGTTTTAATTTGTTGATCAGGTCGGGATCACGGAAAGTGACCAAGGCTTTATTGTCTCGAAAGACGGCTAATGAGAGGAAAATGAAGAATGGCAGGATTTTTAACGTGGTGAATAGCTCTTTTTAATAGCAAATTTATTTGGGATATTTATGATTAGTGCCGTGAATATTAGTAGGAAGGTTTCAGGTCTATGGGGTTGGGACTTAGATGAAGATGAGCATGCGGAGGAGTAGGAAGAGGATCGGTTTCTGAGACGTTTAACAACTCGAAATGGTTGCTCGTCGGGAGAAGTGGTTCTGGGATTTTTGGTGGTGGGTTTTTCCATGGTTTCGGTGTTGCTGATGTGTCAGTGTGTGTACAAAGAAAGAGTTGAGAAAATTGATTAGTTGATTAGCTTATTGTAGGGTTAGTGTTAATTCAAAGGGACGTTACGTACTCGGTCTCAGTGAATGTCGGTTAGTTATAATAAATTTTATGTTTTTACCTCTGTCGGCTGGGCTACTGGTCCACTGCTTACTTCTGGTAGAGTTTGTGAAAAAAGCTGAAGCAATCGAACAATTTCGGTCCGCTCGTGGTCGTTTGCTGACTGCTGCTGGCTGGTTGGTTGCTATATTGGTTTTCTGCTAGTCTGCTGCTGACGTCTGCTCGGCTCGAAGGTTCGATGTGGTCAGGAGACGATGAAATTTTTTTTTTTGTTTAGATTATGCTCGAGGAGGGGAAATCTTCAAAAGGCACCCCCTGAAGGGGGGTAGTGTCGGATTTTTACCGACTAAAACCCCTCCTCGAGTGGGGAGGTAAACCCTGTGGATTTTTCATCCCCGGGAGACAAGTGGAAAGCTGGGGATTAGGGATAGGGTTGAGATGGGAAATCGGCTAAAAGTGTTGGTGGACGGGAGTATTGGGGAGTANATTAGAGCCTTTAGACTCTAATGTGTTGTAGTTTTCTATCTGTTGAGTTTCTGGAAGCTCTATTACTACATTAGAGCCTTCAGACTCTAATGTGTTGTAGCTTTCTATCTGTTGGTTTTCTGGAAGCTGTATTATTACATTAGAGCTTGAATCACTCTCTGATGGCCGGGCCTGGTTGGTACTGATGCACGTAGTGTTATCATATTATTTAAATTTTGCAGTTTAGTGTTATTATATTTTCCTAAAGCCGCCTGATATAAAATATTATGAATTAAATGTTTAACGTGTATCTGGGCTGTATGAGACAGTTTTCTTATTTCATTTCCAACATACTCTCCAAACACAGATGACTCGTCTCTTTTGGTTGAGGCTTTTAATATATCGTAAGCTTCATCAGCTCTTCTTTCGATTTCTGACTTGTTACAGAATCGTTTCTTTTTATGTGAAAAATCTGTGCAACTGTTTGGAGTTCCTTCGTTTGTACCTTCGTTTGTACTACAGCTGTCATTCTTGGCAATATCTTCTATGGAGTGATCAGTTGAGTTTTCAGCGTCCTCAGCAATATCATTCTGAAAAGTAAATAAACTGGTTATATGAATTTGAAAGTAAAATCACAAATTTTTTTCCAGTGTCCTGCAAATGAAGAAGAATGGAAAAGAATAGCTCAAAATTTTGAAGTAAAGTGGAATTTTCCTCATTGCGTTGGAGCAATAGACGGAAAGCATATTGTCATGCAAGCTCCTGCTAACAGTGGAAGTCAATATTATAATTATAAACATACGTTTAGCATTGTTTTGATGGCAGTTGTTGATGCCAATTACAATTTTATATATGCACATGTAGGTTGCCAGGGCAGAATTTCTGATGGAGGCGTTTTCAAGAATACAGAGTTTTATAAACTGCTAAATAAAAACAAACTGAATTTGCCAAGCCCCGTAGAATTGCAGGGTAGATCCATTAAATCTCCATTTATCTTTGTTGGAGATGAAGCTTTCCCTCTAAGAACAGATTTACTGAAGCCGTATTCTGGCCAGTTAGGACGATCACCAGAAAGAATATTCAACTACAGGCTTTCAAGAGCTCGAAGAATTTCTGAAAACGCCTTTGGTATCTTATCAGCATCATTTCGCATTTTTAGAAAACCAATTAATCTAAATATAGAAAATACGCAAGCTGTCACAACGGCCTGCATTTATTTGTATAATTTTATGAGAAAAAAACCATCATCAGGGTTATTGAGCTTTGGAAGTGTTGATGTCGATGATCCCATGACTGGAAATGTTTCGCAAGGTAAATGGCGAGTAATGTCAGAGAATGACAAGGGAATGGTTAACCTTCCCAGACGACCAATAAGACCTAGTCAAGCGGCCTGGGATGTCAGGGAAGAATTTAAAAACTATTTCATGACACCTGAGGGGAGAATAGAATGGCAGGAAAGCTATGCATAAGTGTGCTTTTTTACAAATCATATAATAATAAAATCATATTTGTAAAATCATAAAATCTTGTGTTTTTTTTACCTATATTTATTTATTTAGTGGTATATATATAGACTATAGGACTCAGGGACATCTTATCTATCTATTGGTGGAAGAATTTTTGGAATCGATTTCGTAGTTTCAATATATGGACAGATAAGAAGGAAAAATAATAATAGGTGTACACTTATGTTCTGAAATGATGATGATGATAAATTAAAACTTACTTGCTGAATGCTGGAAAATCCAGTTCTAGGTGTATGGACGTCCAAAAGAAATAGGAGGCTGTCATAGGCAAACCATTTCTTGGATATATCTGCAGCAGATCCACTTCTTTTTTTGGTTATCCTCTGGTGTTCTCTTTGGAATGCTGTTCTGATATTTTTTATTTTCTTCTTCACCATCTCTTCTGAACACTCGTACCTATTGGCTAGTTTTAGGTAGGCATCTTTTTTCTTTTTANTACTTAACATTAGTAAAATAAAAAACAACTAACTATTATTGTTCATGCTATTTAAAACTTAAAGTATCTTCTATATTAACTAATTACACTTAATTTAATGTAAATGAGATCTATTCGACTGAGTTATTCAAAAAAATAGTAAAACATTCTCCTAAAACGTAAAGTAACTGAATTCTGGTCCGTAATTATATCATATCACATTGAACTTAAATAAAAACATTAAAAACTAAACTTCTCATTCAGACGACTGATTAAAATAGCAATTAGGATAAACAAATGCCAATCTTTCTTCCTCATCAACACATTGCAGACGTGTCCAATTGTTACATTCTCTGTATGGAATCCATTTTTCTCGAGGGTAAAGTTAGAGTAAAGATGACACCATAGGATGCAGTAGGGGGAAGGGTGGTAGCCCCGGCCAATTGTTTTTTGTTATTGTGACTATATTATCAAGAGAAATACAACGAAAACTACAAAAAATACTCAACACTATATTTATTCGTATAAGAATATTGAAAATTTGAACGAAAATAATATCCAATCCTGATTAAACCCACTTCAATTAGTGGTCAAATTTTGGTATCTTTTTAAAGTGGCGGGTAGCTCCGGCCACTCACGTAATTAGTGGACAAATCGTTTTTTGGCGACATACACATCAGTTGTAGTACAAATCCGATGGACGTATATCTGCCCATGCCTCGTGAGCCCAGTATTCACATGTTTTGCATTGGATCCAGTCCTCATCGAATGTTTCACCACAAATTATGCACTCTGTTTCCTTATTTTCCGGCTCAGACGCAACCTTCTTCGTTTTCACCTGCACTTTCATATTCTTTTACCTTTTCCACAGCTTTAGGATCTTTCGTCTTCTCCATTAATTTCTTTTTGTAAGGCGAAGCTGTCAAAATTTCGCTTCTTTGTGTTCTTCTTCTAGCTGTTGATCGTTTCTTTAAGGCATCTGGAAGAGGTGACAAAACATTAATCACATCATTAATATTCCCAACATCAACACTTGGACTTGGCATAGCCTCTTGTTAGGTTGCTGACGACACAGCTGGAACGCTAATTGCTGGGTCAACGTTTGAGTTTGCTACTGCTTCATGAGGTTGAATGGCAGCTGACGATACGGGCAGAGCACTGGTTGACGGTCCTGGTGTATTTTCAAATGCTGTCGCACTAGGAGCTTGGATTGTTGACTGGCTAGATCTCAAAAGTTTAGGTCTGAAAACCTGTCTCGATTGAAATGCTGGATACCCGTGCAACGGAAACCACTTTAGGCTATCTCTAATCTTGCAGCTTTCGTGAATGCTATATTTAACAGTCCAGTGATGTCGTAATCAGTCAGTCGAGCACCAAGACTCTGACGCATCCACGATGCGCTTGCTGACCCATAAGCTTGTTTGAATGGCTTGAAAAACACGCGGTCTAATGGCTGAAGCTTGTGAGTCGTAAGCCGACCATTCTTATCCATTTTCTTTATAGGGGAAAATGAACATAGGGGGTAAATAAAGTGACCCAATGCACTCTTAGAAATCATTACAGTGATGTTGCGTCCTCGTTCAGCTGAAGTGAGTTTTCCAACCTGCTTTTTACCTTTCACTGACAAAACTCTCTCATTTTTGTGAACCGTCGATACTCCTGTCTCGTCAGCATTATAAATTTGAGAGGCTTGAAAATTAAATTTTTCATGCAGGTTGAAGAGGTCATAAAACCGATCAACTTGTGGTTTATTGAAACCTGTAGAACGTATCAAGCTTGTTGCCTCAGGGGTTCGTAGTACCACGCCTGGGTTTCTTTTCTTGCTGTTTTTATTTAGGAAGGTATTTTAAGGCAATATTTTGTTGTTCGAAATCATTTTCATTGAAGAACTCATTTTAAAATTGTTTCTTAGCTATAAAAATCTGTTGTGAATAATTGACAGATACATATCTTATTAGATCCGAGGTGCCTGACTCTGAGATTATGCGTATTCACTGTATAAAAACAAAGCTTAAAGTTAATCATGCCATACATTTATTTAACTTTTTTTTTGCACAATTTTAAATAATTCTAATTAATATTAGTATTTAACGATAAGTTTGTTTTGATTTCAGGTTGTGGCGTGTTCCGGCGGGTCCTGAAAGTATATTTTTACGTGAAAACAGTTGAAAATATTGATACATAGAAACTTGAACTGAATTTTTATTAAACTTAGTAAGTATTTCTATCTTTTCTGTTATAAATTTGTATTATAAGACTTGCGTTTGTTTTTTGAAAAGGTTTATTATAAATTTTTTTTTTTTTGATGAACTATGTGATGACATCAGTCTAATGTCACATTTCCTTAGATTAAAAATAAAAAAATGTTCAAGGACTAATCATTTCAATTTTTGTTTTTCTTGTTATTGTTTACCTATCCTGTGTTTTTCCTTTCTTCCGATTCTAAAGTGCTACAATTATATTCGAATATTTGAACAAATTGGAATTATTATTTTATTATATTAGCTTTATAGGAGTATAATGATATCTATGGATGACAAAACAGTAAACAAAACATAGTTGAATTAAACCAAATTGTAATTTACTTTTTGAACCAGGTTGTTGTATTATAAAAGGTCTTGAATGAAAAATGTTTTATGTATTGGTAATTTATGTTTTTTATGATTTTTGGTAAAGAGGGGAGGAGAAAGTTGATATTAAGAAGAATAATTTTTACTAAAGTGTAGTGCACTTCGCAGTTATGTGAAACATAAACTGCAATGCAAGCTACAAGCCATGAAGTCTTGGTTGTCAAATTATTTTGACGTCGGAGACTGTATGTACTTGAGGAGTTTTAATTTCTATGCTTTGTTAAAATGCTGAACGTTACACCTATTGTCACGCTCAATTTGGAAACGGGGTCTCCACTCTACATGTCACGTCGGTAATTTGTTAATTATTTATTTTAATTACATGATTTTAATGCATTTTAATTATTTTAGCGTGACTGGGGGTAAGGTATTAAAATGTTAAGTAAAGCAAGTTTGAAAAACAATAACTTTATTATATAAAATAATATAGAGAATTAAGAAAAAACATTTACAAAAAGGATCTTCCTCTCAATGTAGATCAGTGCACAGAAACAAGTATACTTACATTGATAGGGACGTTGCAATCATCATCTCCCAGGAGGTAGTGTCACCAACACCGAGAGTTTGCCACCTATTACTCTTTTAAGGGTAGACTTTATCCCTTCGCGTTCCCGAGTCGACTGATTGCGATCAGACTATCGATCCCCGTTCATGCGCTAAACTTTTTTGATAAACCAGTGATTACTTGTACATAGTTCAACATGGGTCATTCACTGGCTCCAGAAGTTTCTCTGGTTTAGCTGATTTAACGAAAAAACTGACGAAGTGCTTCTTGATGACTTCGCGAAGTCCAATAATTTTCCCAATGACCAGAGCTATTGAACTGGCGTCAAATTCTGCTTGTAAATAAATAATTGTTTTCACTTACTACCTCGTTGCTGCGGAATGCCAAATACGCTTATTTTGCAAGTAAATGAACTCGGTATCTGTTTTATCAATTTGAAAAGAATAGCAACGTTATAATTATGAAATACTTAATTAATTTTGAAATACGTTTTAAGGTTTAAAATGGTTTTTGAGTTTGCTTAAAACTTCACTGCGTGACACTATTGTGGATGTAGTTAATTTATGTATCTACGTTTTTCTCCTGTGAAGTATGGTTACACTTGGGATGGGGTTATTGAAGGTGCAGTTTGAGAAAATTTCTAAGGCTATTTTACATATTACGTTCTAAGTAGTCATTCTTGAATTTTTCTTACTTCCTTTCATAAACGCATTTGTAGGAATGCTCCACAGCGAACAATTTTCGCCTGGTTACGTAGTAGTTCTGTTCAGGCTTAGACAGAGTTCTGCTGAAATAATCGGTGTTATCATTTCGATGATTCTTTTTCTTGTTTCTGTATATTTGACTGTGCGTTCAAGAAATTTATAGATGAAGCGATGTTATCGTAACTATCTTCTCTAGAGTCGTCACTAGATGACACAAAATAATACGAAGAGTAAAGTGAATAAGCCGATTCTGAATCAGGAGGAGCGAGAGGAATAGCGTTTCTTTCATTTTTCCTTCTATTCAGAATTCAATTCAATTGTCTTTGACCTTCCCTATTTAGAATCGATTGACCAGGTGTGAGGAACAACGTCTTTGCATTTAACCTCGAATCAGAATATCTGGAATGGCACCAAATTAATTCACACTTTACTCCACCTATTATATTGAAAGTCCCTACATTCGACCGTAGGTTTTTTTTCGCGATGTGTAACTTGTTATTGATCATTAAATACTTTGGTTCTATGCGTGTTCGATATTATGATAATAAAATTTGGTAAAAGAAATATTTATTAGACACTGTTAGAGAGTAAGAAGAGTAAAGTAAACGAAGGTTGATTTTGAACTGAAGAATTTTGAATTTGAATAATTTAGGAAACTTATGAAGGTGGAGCTAAGGGTTGCAGATAAAAGAAGGGAACCAATAGTATGAAAATATGATTTGGAAAATTCCGAAGATAGAAGAT